ATTTCTGATTATATCTATTTGGAGGTTTCCATGACTGGTACGTTATTAAAGCGTTTAGAACAGCATATATGTAGGAGCTCGCAAAAACATGTCCTACCTCCACAAGGTGCACTGTGCAAGTCCAGTAGTAGCAGATGTACTGGTAATTCTTCCAGCAGGCTAATGGGATGATGACATATCATCAGGTACAGATGGTGGTACTGTTGTGGCTGACTGATGTCCCTGTGCAGGACAAACTAAGGAGGCTAGATTCACTTTAGGTGTCAAGGATTGGGCAGTGTAGGTTTGTCAGTCGGAGATGATATCACTTCTGGGGCTGGCTGATTAGATGCTCTTGTATCACCAACTGTTAAAGGTGCTACTCTTGTCTCTGACTGTTATTTTCATTCTAGAGGGCATCCTTTCCATAGTTGTAAAGTCGTTGATATGTTTGGGCACATTCACATGCATGGTTTGAAGTCCAGTCGGAGCTATGGCTGGAAAAGATATCTCAGCCAGGTTTTCTCTTTTTCTTTGGTACAAGTTTTCTTAAGGATTATCCTGCTAGAAAAATACATAAGTAAATATTACAGCTTCAATAAAATTGAACTTTTCATAACAAAAAAACACTAAATACATATATATATTTTAGCGCTGTATTTGTTATCATATCCTTGTTTTCTCCTTACAAATGAATTACACCATCAAATACCTAAGTAATAAAAATCAAGGATTCATCAGTAAGATAATTTTCCTTAATGTTTACCACCAGAGTAGACTTCAGGTTTAAAACACAAGTTTATTTTTTAAGTACAGCCACAAGACATGGTTGTGGCGCTTTTGCTATGTATAAAGGTATTGCATATTTAGCCAGATTAGTGACCCTCGTTCTCAAGTTTTTTTTTCTTAGAAAATAGGAGAAAGAGAAAAAGCTTTCCAAAGGAGTTTGCTGAACTTAATATTACTGGTGAAAAATGGTTGATGCATCACACCATTTTGGTTGCCTTTAAGCTGTGTTTTGCAATTTGACTGTTTAGTAATATTAAATTTCTATGCCGGCATTGTATTTTTTCCAATCCATATTTCCAGTACACATTGACATCGTTGACATATTAGCTTTCTTAATCTGAGTAATGGACGTTTCTTGACACCATACCTTCAATAGGGGACCCTGTCCAATTCCAGAGGAATCGAATGTTCTCAGTAAACCTTTCTGCTTTCCTAGGTTACAACTTGGTGTCACAGAGCACGAAGTTATGCTAATTAGTAAAATCCAACTAGTGGTCTATTATCAATGCTATATGTTATAGTCCACTAGTAGCAATAAGTGCGGGCTTTTTGGCGGCAAAAAAGAATTAAAGTCTAGCTTTAACTAGCTAACTTTTTTTATTCTCTATATTTTTGACCTTTGGCCTCATGGGCTATTGACTCGGAGCCCATTTGGGCTCGTGGAATAATTGTTAATTAGTGTATGACATATCACATGCATCTGTCAGAAGGCATTCTCTTCATTATTCAATAAATACAGTACCAAAGAATGAAGAGTAAAGCAATATGCTTTTTCATCTCTCACCTATATTTCAACAATGTTAAACAGCCTTAATCAGGGTGAATGGCCATTACAAGCAGTAGACGCTATTATCGCATGACAACACACAAATTTGAAAATGTTTGTGCACTACAAAGGAAGATAACCATATACACACTTTTACCGGATGTGAGACAACTTATTCTGGCTATAAAAAGTCACTTTTATTCAAGCCCTGATGCTAAATACAGTTCAAGCTATAGGCCCACTGACCTTCTTATCCCGGAGAGCTGATTCTTCCCTGGACAGTCTGTCAATTAACTTTATACTGACATCTTCAAGACCATGGCATACTGGGTCAGAAAAATGTCTATATACAAGATCATCTTTGTCTCTACCCTCAACAGACAGTCTTCAGTGCACTCTAAAACGAGGCTTTTGATTGTTAAATATAAGCCTAAGCTTTGTTGGTCTTGACCCAACATACTGTCATGACACACCTTACAGGATAACAAGTAGACAACATGACTCCTGTAGGAAAATGCATGATGTCATTTTATCACAACTGCCAGAATCCTTCAGTTTGTTATTTTCTGGTATAAGTTAGAACTATTGCCCGTTATTCGTTAGTGGGATTGACAAATTTAAATGAGAAACGAAATTAATTCTGGTGGTTCAAGACATGTGGGGGGGGGGGCTTGTCTGTCCCTTTTGTTAGATGATGATGCAGACATCGTACGTCTAAATTCTGTCGGAGATGTTGCAGGCACACCTCATAAAGGAATGAAAATTTACATAATACTTAAGAAAATTTTTTGTTTTAAATGAGATATGGTAATTACATTTTAAGCAATTGCAAATACCCCCGAAGAAACGAAATTTCAACTTCAAAGGGATTAGAACCACTGGCCTCTGCATTAGCACTGCAGTGCCCTACTATTTCAGTTATGAAGACCCATACATTGAGAGCAGGCCACTCCTAACCCGAACAGAATGACACATGGAGGTGATGTACACTGCAGAAATACAAATTGTAAATGAAGATATGATTGTCGCAGTGTTAATTGCGATTTAAACAACTTCAAATAAACTCCAAAAAATTTCCGTCAAGAATCTAAAGTAAAGGTAAGCTTCGTATTAACCAAGAACAGATAAAACAGTAAAAGACTTGTTTTTGTTATGCGTCAAACATGTTTAAACAGGCTGATTATTGCAATAATTTAACTAGTAATAGCTCTCACTAAAGCTGCCCTCACTATTTTTATATTATGGAGTGTAGAATATCTTCAGTACCCCCCTGTAGCGACTTCGGGTTATGCGCACAAAATAACACAAGCCTTACTTATCGCCCCACTACCGTGGATAGGACAAGAGTCTTGGCAGAGCCTTTCTTATCTCCCCAGCGTCACACGGGCTGGATCGCACAAGATTAAGGCAAAGGAATAGCTCAAATGATGGCAAGACACAAGCAATGCCAAAAGCTTGGGGGAAGTCGCAACGCAGACTTAGCTGCCACAGATGCATGCAATGCATCCCCCCAAGCAACAACAAAACACTAAATAAAGTTCCCTGACACACGAGCCATTTTGGGAATAGGAGAAAGCAAGACTGTTTCGGGGGTGTGAATATACAGTTGATAACAGTCCGAGGACCAACGACCTAAAACTTTTATTAACCAGCCTGGTGAGCCCACAGCAGCCGCAGCAGATGCCGCGCCTATACGAAAACTGTGACCTTTTAGACTCTCGTATGGGAGTCCCACACAGTGAGCAGAATCCTAAACTAAATGCGTAACAGAGGACTGAGTGAGAAGCCGACCCGACTGAAAGTAAAACATGGGCCCAGGCCAAGGCTGGGCAAGCATAAAATACTGTTGCATGGCGGAAAAGGGGGCACAATGGAGAAGAGCACCGAGCTACTACGAGAGATTGCCGCTGTCGAAAACTGTTAGTTTTAGACGATTTAAGTTTGAGAAGCATGTGCTGCGGGCGAGCCAGACTTGGTGAGAAAAACACACAATCAGTGGTGAGGTTAAACTGGGAACTAATATTACATGCCCCTGGGAACGTAAACTTGGTACAACAAAGAAAGGCAAAAAAGGCTAGGGTAAATGCTGCCCAGATCATAGAAAAATCCCAAACATACAACCAGCTCTCAAGGACGGGACGGATAGCTAACAGAACCCGGGGGGTGACCGACTGACGATGTATACGAGAACAATGCTAGTAATGAAGAATGCCCCTTAAAATTTTTTTTAAAAGCAGCTTGCCCTGGAAGGGGTGATTGTAACCTGAAACTATATGTAGATTCCTGACGGCTGCTAACTTTATTTTGATTGTGCAATGTCAAACTGTGCGAGCTAAATAAGACGCAAAATAGATAAGTGTCCCCTCCGAGGCAGGTAAAATGTCACCTGTTGGAGATGTAAGTCTGTTCATAAGGCAAAATGAGATAAAATGTTTTTCTCCAGATGTATAGGTGCGTTTGGCGTTCCATGATAAGGCCCAGTTAGCATACCTTAGAACTTCATCCTTCAGAGGGTTGTGAACGAAGGAAGGATGAAACAAGGGGTCCGGTCCGATTGCATTAGGTCAATCTGAAGGCTTCATAGATGCAACTTGGTGGGCCGTATAAATATCCTGGATCAACACTCCCTTTACTCCCAAGGCTGAAAATAACTCTAGGCATAGATTTGCAGTTTGTTCAGGGTGTTCACGTTCAGCAACCATCAGCATTCCGACTATCTTAATGTTGAATTGGTAGCTGTACAATTCAAAAGTATCTAGCGGTTTCTGGATATGGTCGTAGGTCTCAGGTATCTTATCATTATCAAGTCTTGCCCTAATTCCTTCAAGCCCTTTACTGGCACTTACTTTGAAAGCAATTAAATCATCGTACTGGTCCAAAACAAACTCCATTTATTTGGTTTTGTCTGGTGACAGCACTTCACCACCATTACCAACATTTAGTGTGCATTCTTCAGTTCATTCACTTAGCTCTTTCAAACCCTTTTCTAGCTTTACTTTAAGCTCCTCTGCTTCGTCCTTGAGTTCTTTGTTTGTTTTCTCAATTTTTGTTCACTATTTGTCAGGATATTAGAGAGAGTTACCGCTTGCAACTCGGGTGACAAGTTAGTCGAACAATACTACTATGTACCTTCGTGTTGAACGGTATTACTTACAATTCATTTGTTAACATTCATATTTGAGTTTAATTTTCCTGCTTGGACATTTATCGTTTAAGAGTTGCCGTAACCTTGTTCGACCATAGTGTTGACTAGGGTTTCTCCCCACCCCTGACCACCCTTCTTTCCCGAAACCCCAATGGTTTAAACCCATTTCTGGGTCTAGAACCCTCTTCGAAAGGGGTGCTCCCCCATTGGGTTTTGGAACTCTGCTGAGTATCGGCCCTCCCTCTCTAGCATATCCGGGGATTGGGAAATGACAGGCTACGAGGAATGGAGTCCACACTGTGTTTCAATGTTCAACAACTTTTAATTACGTTCCCTTAGAATCACATGAGGAGTAGCCCAAATGGCGCAAAGACGAAGAAAACTAAGGAACGGTGAGTGATTTGACTCCAAAAGACTAGATAGTGGTAATAACGAAAGCGGAATGGTCACAGGGTACATCCTACTTCCTGTTTCCCCTGGCCAACTGGCGGTTGACCTCGTCCTGGTGGGCTATGAGTGTTGCCAGCGCTTGGTGGGTCTTGTCCTTATTCTTTTTCTTCTTCTTGTGTTTTTTCTTGGCCTTAGCCTCAGCGTCCTCAGACTGTGGTTCGTCGTTCTGGTCTTTCGTGGTGGGCTCTGGTGGCGGGCTGGGCGATGGCGATCGGCGCCATTTGTTCTTCTTCTTTTTTGGGGGGGGTGTTGTTTGGGTGATGAAGATGTCGGCTTCCTCATCAGTGTCGTCGTCCAGGTTTAGCACCTCTCTTCGGTTCTTCGCCGCTGAGGGGCCGTTCAGGGGCCTTTTGTTCTTCTTTGCGCGTTTCATACGTGTTTCATTCTCCTGCGAGGAGTAGTCGTGTTCCACAGGGCTGGCAACAAATCGGCGTTTTTTCCCGTGCCTGGCCGGCGGTTCCTGGTCTTCGTCCTCAGAGCTTGGTAACGCTGCTATGCCACTGACATCAAAGGACGTTCTCCGTCTCCTTGAATTGGCACCTCTCTCAGCTCTGTCTGTGGAGGTGGAGGGTTGGGGAACACGTCTTCTGGACGTTGATGCTCCAGCGTTGGCTGATGGTGCACTTTTGGGATGTGCATGGGCTAGGGCTCTTTTAGATCTGCTGGGGCGCTGCTGTGTATGTTCCTCGTCGTCTTCGTCTAAGTAGGCCGCACTATCCCAGTCGTTCGTCGAACGTTTGACTGTACGTCTTCTCATCAGGATCTGATCGATGAGATATCTCATCATATTTTTGAACGTGGGATCGGTTTTAAACTTCTTGGTACTTGGGGCTCGGACGCTCCTCTCTGCAAAGACGTCCGGATTGTGCATTAGGCAGTTAATCACTAATATGTGGATAGACATCATGAGGACGGGCCCAACCGCATTAAACACATCAGTGAACAGATCCTCAACCCAAGGGTCAAAGTTGATGGCTTTTAGTATCTTGAGGACATCATTGGCGTCCGGCGGATCCATATCCAATTTATCTTTATTGTCAACTCTCCTGAGGGGGTCAACTATCGGATCTACGAACTTTCGCAGATCGTCCACGAACTCTTCAGTGAAGACCGTGCGGCGGTACGCCATAATATTCGTCCAGTTCTCTTTAAGAGTGCTGGCCATTTCGGAAATGGCAATATTCGGCCTGGACAGCCATTCACAATTCCAATCGAATAGCCGGCAGAGGATCTTCTCGTCCGGCAGGTTGGACAGCGCTTCCCCGTAGTTCAGCATGAAACTACGTGGGAAGTGCTTATTATAATTCGGCTTGGGGGTGGCGCCACCGCTTCCAGAAGAATGAGACATGCCTGTAAAATGAAGAATGGTTAGTTGCGGAAGTTGTGCGTTTGGCACACAGATACTTACAGACGGGTTGGTCATCCTAAAAGGCTTCTTTGTGTAAATTTGGGGAACGTCACTCTGTAACGGCTGGTATGGGTAACGCGAAAGAGAATACATATACAAATGGGTTTGTGTAGTGCTTTGGCTTCACCCATTGAACCCGTTAGAGCAATACGCCCTCTTAAAATTAAATCTGACACGTACTCGTTTACCTGGAGAACAATGCTGCCAGCAAGCCTAACATATTGGATTTGGTTCTGTTATCAATGTCACATTTTTTAGCCAGAAAAAAAAGTTGATTTTCAATCAAGTCATTGTTTACTGTATTTCGTGCATAGTATAAATCTTCCAGTGATGGTAGGTGACAATCTAAATGTTTGGAAGTAAGATTTCAATAAAGACAGGTTAATGTATTCTGCAAAAGGGCACAATGTAAATCTAACCAACATTGCTGAGTCCTCTTGTCATATTTTTTTGGAAATCAATAAATGTGACTTAATTTGCAATATCATCAACATCTTTCACAGAAACTCATACTGCACTCATCGAGGAATTAAAGGCTTGCGTATCAGGTGTAAGAACCTGCATTTCTGAAAGGTGTTTGTAGGTGGAGCGTTAGTGGATAGGCTTGGTCGCCATAAATGCGCATGGTTTGACCAAAAGGGACAAAGCATGCCACTGCAGAAGACGTAGTAGACCAGAGTCAGCCAAGATTCCGACGTCACTTTTCTAACCCTCTAGAAAAAAGGAAAAAAACAAACCCATTAAAACCGTGTGTTAAAAAAGAGGTATTAATAGAGCCATTTTATTGAGAATAGGAGATCAACGGTGAAAATGATTAAGTGTAAACTCACAAACTAGTACAAATGTGTTTCCAGTCATCCCATTTGGAAGAGCTTATGATTTACTGGAATGCCTAACAGCAAAATCATTCTTTTTTTGATACAAGCATAAGACTTCCTGCACATAGTCACACTGGATTGTAATAAATGTTTAGTCGATTAGCCACCTGAAATTTCACCGTTAACTAGAAAAACAAAAATTCCAAAAACAAAGTCCAAGATGGCGGCCGTGTTCCCTTTTTAACTTAATTAATTATTGCAGTCTTCAGATGACTTTTTACCTTGGAACTTGCTTAAAACAAATTTATGCTGCTTTTGTGGGAACATTGAAAGGGAAAATAAGGTCAAATGTAATTGAAGATTTTTCAGTCAAAGGACTTAAATTATTGGGAGCTTGAGGCTTCATTAATGGCATTGCCTCAGTGGAATAGGTGGCATTGTTGCTTTCACTATTGTTATCAGCCATTGTAACACTAATAACAATGATAGTAAAATATATTAAGTAAATCGTCAGAAAATGATAATGAATTCAAAACCAAGGCAGATTTAGTAAAGCATCGAAAAGTGCAATTTGCTTTTTGCGTTTATGAATTAAAGGACTTTTCCTGTACCCTTTTTACAAGTCATATTCTTGCCTTATACTCATATTTATGCTCATTTTTTCTTGGGCAAATCTGTCCAAGGGTGAAAGGTGCAGTGATGTTAACCCTATGTGAAGTTCAGTTTCCTTGTTTTTTAGTTCAATAAAGACACCATAGTTCAACAACAACTGCAAGAGTTCAGAAAAAGACACAATGTATGTTTATTTGGATTTTCTGTTTGCTAAGGTAGGGGATCTTTTATTAGTAGGAGTATTGAGGCAACCATTTTTTTATTATTATTATCTTTGTATATTTTAAGTGCCAACGTTCAGTTCAGTTCATCACTCTTCGGGGAGCTTGCTTGTATTGTTTCCAAATCCTGCTGTTGTACTTCTGTGGTACTTCTGTGGCAATTCCTCAGTAAGCACGTGGTAACTTCTCAGTAGGTGCAGCTGAGCAAAATTACAATTTCTTCAAGACTATACGGTGGCTCATTATAATCGTTCTAAAGTCCTCTCTCCATAGCCTTGTTATTGTCTTGGCATGCTTATAAACCAATCATTTGATTAGTTTGTTAGGTTGCATGGAGGTCATTAATACATAACAATTATTCACCAAAGTGGAGGTGGCTAGTATTGATAATTGAGCACAAAATGATGATTTTTAACTCATTTAGTGTTGCCAACGATTACAATTTTAGTGCACAATGACTGAATGGCCGCGGTCGTCGCTTTTTCTTAGCGACAAATAAAACTTTTGAAGGCGTTTGTTTAGCTCTTGCGGGGAAGTTTCTTCAAAAGGAGTTGTAAATTCTGTTTGTATTTAAAATAATTCTGTAAAAAAAGATTATTAAATTTAGTTTTAAGCTTATTTATGAACAAGTCAACTAAATAAAGTAACCCAAGACTTAAGCTTAATTTGTATTTGTAAACTAAAAACTTTTTCACCGGTTTTATGGATAACTATTCAAGTCAAAAAGACAAAGTTTTACCTGTTAAAACTTCCAAACTGAACTTCATTACCTTCTTCATGTATTTCGGAAATAGCTTGCTTGATTAGTTGTGAAATTTCTTAGTTTGTTACGGCAGCAAACCGGGAAAGCATTTTGCTCGCAACCTACATGAGTTTGGCGTCGCTCACTCGGAGGAACTGGAGGTGAATCAGTGAATAGTGCAGGATATTCACTGATTGAGTAGCCAATCAGAGCGCCCGAAAAAAAAACTATCCACTGTTTTAGTATATACTAAATATATATATATAACTTCACAGAAGTTCCGGTTTCACGAGTAATCATTGTTTTATTGCTACAGAACTGTTTCGTATGGTGCAAGGACCACACTCATCAGGCAATTTTGACGACTGAACTGTTGGAATTGGAAGGCTGGCAGCTAAATGCGAAAATTTGAATGGTTGCTATGGTAGATGCGTTACATTCAGGTTATATGAAACTGTTGGAAGGGTTGCTAGGTAACAAAAACATTATATAAGAGGGATTATCTGTCGCTATAGTGGAGCTCCACGCGGGGCACGAAGCGCCGCAGCATGGACGGAGCCCCATAGCTAAGGAAATGTGGTAATCTACCCATCCCAGAAAATTTGGTAATCACGTGATCGTACACCGAGCGAGCGACCGTCCGTCTGCACCACAGGCACACCAATGCAAAATTTCAGGTAGTCTGTAGTGATGGGTTTTTGGCGCGAAAAGAAATGGCCACCCGCGTTTCGTGAAGCATAAACAACTGAAAAGTTCAGCGAAGTCAATTCAGAAGAAAATAAATTTTTTGTATCGGTTGAGCACCGCGCAATTCGGTCACACCCGTATTTTGTAAATATTTTATTGATTATGTCCTCTAGTTTAGACTACAGAGATAGAGAGAGGCAGAGAAAACGAGAAAGTAGGTGGCAAGCAAGCCAAGCTCAAAGAGAGAGAGCGCTGCAGAGAGCTAGAGAAAGGAGGCAAAACTGCTCTGACGAGCAACGGGAGAGAGAGAGCGAGAAAGAAACAGAGAAAGGAGGCGCAATTTTATGGACAAGCAACGGGAGAGGGAGCAACAAAGAAACAGAGAATTGAGGCGCAATTTTATGGACGAGCAACGGGAGAGGGAGTGAGAAAGAAACAGAGCATTAACGCGCAATTTTACGGACGAGCAACGGAAGAGGGAGCAAGAAAGAAAAAGAGAAAGGAGGCAAAATTTTACTCAAGAGCAACTGGAGAATGAACGAGAAAGAGCAAGGGAAAGTAGACGCAGAATTAGCGACGAGCGGCGAAGAAGGGAGCAAGAAACAGCAAGGGAAAACAGGTGTCGTTTAAACGAAGAGGAATAGGAAGGAGGAGAAGGTGAGTGACTTTCTTCAAATTTAAGCTTATAATGTCAGATTTTTGCCGAGGTTAGCTTACTGTTAACATGTATCGAATATAAGGCGTTTTGTGCTTTGAGCTGTTGCTTTTTTGTTTAATCAATAACCTCTTTGTAATTGCAGCAATTTTTTGGATTGACCGATCACCACACGTCACTTGTTCTCCCGCAGTGTCGATTTGACCTTTTGTCATTGCAGTTTTTCTTCTCGACTGAAGTGTATTCCGTCTAGTTCACTGTGGTTAAGCCGTTAAGCGGTGCTGACCTGTCTTCGTTTGAGCGGGAATATTTGTTAGTTCCCACGACAATAGAGGCAATATTTGGGTAATTTTGCGGCGATGGTTTTATTTTGTCCTTCCTTGGTTATTAAATTACATCACGCACGGTTTGTCATGTGCAGTTCAGCTTTTGTTTTTACTTGGCAAACAATAAAACAAACTTCACAATGCTGATGAGGTTTGAGCGATTCGGACGAAATATTCGTTTTTGTCTCGAATTATGGTATATACTCTGACTTTTTAGTTTTACAGTGTCCTGTGCCAAGGCTTCTGCTAAGCTTTTAAAAATAAAATACACGTCGCCTGTCACTCCTTGTCTGTCACTCACAACGGTGAAACTTCCAAGTATCGAGTTTCAGTATCTGGGAGCTTTGTTGAGAGACCTCAGCTTATCCTAAAACATGACAACTGGTTAGTATGCGTGTTGCATTTGTCGAACAGAGTAAGCTTTCCGTGTAGTTAGCATTTGTTCATGTCCCTGAAGGAGAAAAAAAATTACAAATAGACAGTCGACCTCTTTGATGTCTCGCTTCACGTTTGCTCTGGTGCACAAATTTAAGCTTTTTATGACAGTATCACTCGGAGCAGTAAAATGAAAATTATACGCGGTACATTTTGCTGTATATTGTTGGTCGAATTTTTAGGTTGTAAAGTTATTCATTTTAGCCACAGGAGAACAAGAAAGTGAAGAAGAAAGTGAAGCACTCCAAGTTGAGACTAATGAGTGTGGCATGCAATGCTCTCTTCAAAGTGAACAGCACCAAAGTGATTCAGGTACATATATTAAGCTTACATAGGTTTAGTAGGATGTTCAGAGCCTCCAACTTACATTTTTCACTCATTTTACTGTACATATATGTTTGAAAAGTTTCGCCTAAACGTTTGTTTACGAAAGTGGGGTAAATATAACTGCAGTGTAAATATGAAATATACAAACTCAACTCAATTTAATTTTTCGTGTTATTAGCAAATGAATGTACT